CCCAAGTGATTTCCACAGACTCCTTCGTGCACCTCTCTTAATGCATAATTAGCCTCATCTGGCCTAAGGCATCTAAGGTATGGCATGCTGTACGACCTCTTGTACAAGTGGTGGCCTATGATCGAATACCGGGCTGAGCGTTGAATGATTTTCTTTGCCTCTCGCTGGTCATCAGACAACTTTTCATCTTTGAGGTAGTCCACAATAGGATCAACCCAACTGAGTCCTTGGTCAAGGCTCATCACTTGCTCTTCCTCTATACTGCGGTGAGGAAGGACTTCAACAGGTACGGTTTTGATGAGCTCGTGATAAGCCGATGTTGCGAGCTTAGACAGTGCGTCTGCCTTGGTGTTTTCTGTCCTTGCGACTTGCTGAACCCCACAATACTTAAATAAAGAGACCAAGTCTTTCACCTTAGTTTGGTACTTGACCATCATGGGATCATTTGCCTCATAGTCTCCACGGCTTTGACATACGACCAACTGTGAGTCACTATGGCATTGCACACGTCGGGCTCCCAGCTCCAACGCCATCTTTAGTCCGGTTATGAGAGCCTCATATTCAGCCTCATTGTTTGAGGCCTTGAACTCGAACCTTAGAGCGTAATAAAAAACATCACCTTCTGGGCTGGTTAAGGTCAACACAGCCCCACTCCCATTTTGATTTGATGATCCGTCCACATACAAGGTCCAATAGCCTTCCACGGGATCTCCGATGTTTGGCACCACCTCTGTTACCAGAGGAGTATGCTCTTCTCCCGTAGTACACTCTACTAAAAAATCCGCCAAGGTCTGGGCCTTAACAGCCGTCCTCGGTCGAAACTGAACATCAAATTTGCTAAGCTCAACGCACCACTTCACCAGCCTCCCAGATGCTTCCGGCCTCTGTAGAATTTGTCTCAATGGTTGGTCTGTGAGTACAACCACCACATGTGCTTAGAAATATGGTCTCAACTTACGAGCTGAGATAACCAAGGCCAATGCCAACTTTTCGATCTTAGGATAGCGAAGCTTTGCGCCTCCTAGGACTCGACTCACATAATAAATTGGCATTTGGACTCCATCTTCTTCTCGGATTAACCCGAGCTCACAGCCGCATCCGACACTCCCAGGTATAAGTATAAAACCTCTCCTTGTTGTGGCTTTGTCAAAAGTGGTGGAGAACCCAAGTAAGATTTTAGATCCTCGAACGCTCTCTGACAGTCTTCTGTTCAAGCGAACATATTTGCCTTCCTTAGCACTTTAAAACATGGTAGGCTCTTTTCTGCAGACTTTGACAAGAAACGACTAAGTGTTGTTAGTCTTCCGGTGAGCCTCTGAACTTCTTTCACTGACTTAGCAGGATTCATGTCCAACAATGCTTTGATTTTCTCTGGGTTCGCCTTGATTCCTCGTTGTGTAACCATGTATCCAAGAAACTTTCCCGAGGTCACCCCAAAAGCGCACTTGTTGGGGTTGAGCTTCATCTTGTAATGCTTCAACACTGCGAAGGTCTCCTCTAAGTCAGCTATGTGGTCCTCCGCACGTGGACTCTTTGCTAGCATGTCATCAACGTACACTTTAATGTTTCTACCAATTTGGTTTTTAAAGATCTTGTTCACTAGCCTCTGGTATGTAACCCTCGCGTTCTTCAGACCGAAGGGCATGACCTTGTAGCAATATAGGCCTCGGTCGGTGACAAAAGAAGTTTTGGCTTCATCCCCTGGGTGCATCCTTATCTGATGGTACCCTTGAAATGCATCCATGAAGCTGAGGACTTCACATCCGGCGGTGGCGTCTACTAGTTGGTCTATCCTCGGTAAGGGAAAACTGTCCTTGGGACACGCCTTGTTTAGACTTGTAAAGTCTATGCACATCCTCCAATTGCCACTTGTTTTCAGAACCAAGACAACGTTGGACAACCACTCGGGATAATCTACCTCCCTTACGTAATCAGCATCTAAGAGCTTATCCACCTCTCCGTTGATCGCTTGGATCCTATCTGGGGCAAAACTCCTTTTCTTCTGTTGAACCGGCTTAAAGCTAGGGTCCACATTTAGTCGGTGGACTATGACCTCAGGGTCAATTCCCGGCATGTCAGATGGACTCCAAGCAAAGACTTCGACATTTTCTCTCAATAACTGGACAAGCTTTGTCTTTAGGTCCTCGGGCAATGAGGACCCTATTCTCACAACCTTATCAGTGTCCCCTTCATAAAGCTCAATTGAGACTAAGGTCTCTACTAGCTCTCCCGCTTTCTTAACCTCGTCCTCCGGATCCAAGTTCCATATGGTCAGAGCCTCCGAGTTCTTTCTTTTACCTTTGAGTGAGGCCACATAACATTGTCTAGCTACCTCTTGGTCTCCACGAACTTTCCCGATGCCATTCTCGGTTGGGAACTTCATAAGCATGTGATATGTAGAGACTATGACTTTCATCTTGTTCAACCCTGGTCGTCCAAGGATGACATTGTAACTGGAAGGGACCTTCACAACTAAGAAATCCATCATGACCGTGGTCTGCTGGGGTGAGTTCCCTGCAGTTAACGGGAGGTTATAGTTCCCTCCGGCTCCACGGTTTCACTTGTGAACCCCATTAGTGAAGTTTTGACTGGCCTTAGTCGTTCACGACCAATTTTCATCTTCTCGAATGCATCATAGAATATGATATCATCCGAGCTGCCACTATCCACCAACACTCTTTTGACCCCATAATTCCCAATCGTAAGTGTAACGACCATGGGATCATCATGAGGAGTTAGAATGTTGCCCGTGTCTTTTTTTGTAAAGGTTATTTGTGTCTCCCTACGAGCCCTTTTCTCTTGCGGCTCACTTGTTCGAGGTTGCCTTGCATATGCTTTGCGAGCAAAATTGCTTTCTCCGCCGGCGATGACAGCTATGACCCCAACAACTTGAGTGTTGTCCCTCCTCAGACTTCGGGCCCTAGGATTACCCCTCCTAGGACTACGACTTTGATCTTTTGAGCGTCTTTGCTGAGGTTGAGGGTTGCTTCTGTCTTTTCCCACAAATTTCTTAAGGTATCCTCTCGTATCAAGTCCTCAATCTCGTTTTTCAGGGTCTCACAGTCCTCGGTATCGTGACCGTGGTCTCTGTGAAAACGACAATACTTGTCCCGACTTCTTTTGTTTGCCGGGGTTCTCATCTTAGTTGGCCATCTGACATAGTCCTTATCTCGATTATACATCAAGATTTCATTCTTTGTAGCACGCAAAGGAGTATACCTTTCAAACCTCGGGAGATTGGACCTATCCTTCGATGAGTTGGTCGTGACAGACAGCCTATCCCATACTTTTTTCCTCTTTCCGCCATTACCATCACCAGAGTCCCTCATCCTCTTTCTGTCAGAGGTCTCACGCTCATCATCCTCTCTGGACATCTCCTCAGCGTTGATGTACTTTTCAGCCCTACTGAAGAGATCAGGGAGGGATAGAGGTGGTTTTTTCGCCAAAGAGAAAGCAAACCGTGAAGACTTTCGAACCCCATTCATGAGTGCGGCTAAGGCCACGGACTGGTCCAAGTCCTCAATCTGTAATGCCTCTCCACTGAAACGTTGGATAAACTCCCTGAACGTTTCATTCGACCTCTGACGAACGACCATAAGATGGGCTGACGCTTTCTTGTACCGTTTGCTGCTAACAAAGTGGTTGAGAAATTCTTGTGCCAATTGTTTGAAAGTATGGATAGAGGCCGCTGACAGTGAAGAGAATCAAACCCTGGCGCTTTTTCTTAGTGTGGCCGAGAACGCTCGACATTTGATGGCGTCGGTCTCCCCATGAAGCATCATGAGAGCTTGGAAATTCTCAAGGTGGTCACGGGGGTCCGAAGTTCCATCATAAAATTCTCCATCTGAGGCATCTTGAAGCTAGAGGGAATTTCCTCTTTCATGAGGCTATCAACAAAAGGGGACTCGGTGGGTGAGAAAATATCCGACGTCGGCTTTCTGACTTCTTTCCAGACCACTCTGAGCCTTTCATTCATCTCCTCAAGCTTTTGCTTAAGGTCGCCATCCTCAGGTGTGAAATTTCTTCTCCTGAGGTCTCTTTTGGATCTGACCTCGGTCTCATCGTCGGGGGCTTTAGAACCTTCGCCATGGCTAGTTTCTCGATCCTTTCGACCTAGGGATGCTTCTTTTTCCATCATACCCTTCATGAGGGTCTTCAGTTCAAGGAGATCTTTTTCCACCCTCTGCAGTCGTTCGGCCTCGGTCTCCGAGGTCACCTCGACTGGTTTCACCTCTCTTCCGTATCGCCATGAATCCTCTTCCTAAATCGTCGGTCCCATAGACGACGCCAATTGATGATACAATAATTACTTGACGTTAGTCAGAGGACACGTGGCGACGATGCTCCGACGTCTCCCTGGACTCGTCTCCTTTGCTCCAACGCCTGCAAAATAGAACCCGGGGTTGTCCCCAGGGGTAGATCCTCCGATGCCTAAGTTAGAATAGGTTTTAGGTTTTCTGAGGGGGTGGCTACGGAATGAATAGAAGAGAGAGCCTGGAGAGTTCAGAATGTCCCTTACCTTGACCTAGGTCGTCCTTTTATAGGAGTTAGACGACCTAGGTCTCCCTTCTGCAGGCGGAGGACTCCCTGGCCCATAAGCTTCGTGGGCTGACCTCAGACTTTGGCCCAAAGTAAAGCCCCTCTGGACCTTGGGCCTATA